CCATATCTGTAATGACAAAAATCTTATATATTAAAATAGAAGTTATGACTTAACTTCATGTGTGATTTTTTTTAAAAATGGACTATTACTAGAAAGTAATGTTACATTAACTTTCTAATAATCTTATCATTATTATATCTTATGAAAAACCATATCTGTAATGACAAAAATACGTTTAACAATTTGGTTTTTGTAATTACCCCCACACCTTCCAACTTAGTCACACAAAATATGTCAATAGATATAAATTTAGGATTCTTCTATTATTTATAAGGAAATAGGTCAATAATAGTTAAATGAATCCACAATATATTAACAAAAATCACAGATTCGTAATATGGAATATTTATATACCCTAACAAAATTTACACGCTATATATACTAGATAAATTTATTTCGATGTAAATTTTTAAAATTATATTGTTTAAAAAAAAAGAAATTGTTTAAAAAATTCTTTTTAATAAAATTCTTTGTAATATTAATTTATGAAGCTATAGTTTAGTTTTTAGCAAAAATTTCTTCGAAGTTTATATTATTTTTGCAAATTAAAGTATAATAATATCTAATCAAGCTCTATTTATATTACTTTATCTAAAAATGAAATACTAATCTATACAAACAATAAAATATAGAAGAAGAAATAAACACATATTTGAAAAACATGTATAATATAAAAAATTTGAAACAATCTATTTGACTAAAACACGTATTATATAATATTATTATGTTTGGAAAACATTTACTATATATATCGTAAATATGTGATTACTATAATATATACCAATTTACAAGTGAAAACAAAATGTTTATATAACTAATAAAAACGAAAACAAACACCCGCGCGGTTGCGCGGCTCAAAATCTAGTTTACATTAAAAATTATAAAAGTAAAATATCACAAACAATTCTCAATAATAACACTTTTTAAGTTTTTGTCAACAAAATAGCACGACAAAAGAAAAGTCACAAATATAGGTTTCATTAATAGGTCAAAAGACATCAATGTCCTTGTATATTGTTTAATTAAACAAAAAAAAAAATTATAAGAAACACAATCTCATCTCTCCCGACGACGATTTAATCATCATCTCAGACCTCCGGCGAATCCTCTCCTCCGTACCATTGTCTCTGTGTGTGTCAATGCAAATGAGATCCGAATCTCACTCCTCACTCTCTCTCTCTTAATTGAGTGACCGACGATATTTTGATCTGTTTTCTCTTCCAAATCCAAAGAGCTACTTTTACCAGTCAGTTCTCTGATCCCTTCCTTTGTTTGGGTATCTGAATCTCCTCCAGAACTAGGTTTACCAAGTTTTCAAATTCGTTAATTCTAATTGCCGAAAGTTAGTTTCCGATTTGGAACCTTCCTTTCTATTTTGACGAGTCTCTCGTTGGTTGAGAGATGCGAGTCGCTTCTCATTGATGATATCTTCGTTCCATGTTCAGATCCATGATTTTCCAACTCTTTACATTATTCACAGCCTTGATCAAATTCTAGTAGATTAAAAGTGTTGTAGATTCTTTGGTCACTAGAGTAATGCTTCATTGTTTATTAGTTATCACATTTCATCTTTGCTGCTGTGATTGGAAAACAGATCACTGGTGATTCTTGATACCTGAAGTTTTCAACCTTGTTGTTTTGTAGAATCTATCAGTTTGAAAGTCATCACTAATACAACAAAAGGCGATGAGAGGAAGATCAGATGGAGGGAAAAAGAAGCCACTGATTGTTTTGCAAGGGTTTTATAAAATTCAGGATAGTTTTCCAGAAATCTCATAAAAATGTTTGGCTTGTTTATGCAGGTTAGTAAACACTGTGGGATGGGGAAAAGTAAGGAAGTTTGGCCACTAGGCCAAGGAGAATCACCTGTTAATTGTCAACACATAATTGTATTGAACTTTAACTTATGTGTCACAAATATTGGAAGGCATTTTGACTTTTCTGGATAGGTTTCCAGAATAAAATGTTAGAGTGCTTCTTTGTAGCAAAGTTTAAACTAATAAAATGAAATGAGATTAAAAACTAAAGATTTGATATCTGCATGGTTGATAAGTTTTTAATTGTGATGTTTTCAGACAAAAAAGATAAAAATTGTTTTTGAAGCAACCGTGAATCGAACCCGAAGTGAGAGAGTGTATGGGGAAAGTATGCAAATTTGGACGCTAGACCGAGGAGAATCATCTGTTAATCGTCAAATCATAATTTATTTAACTCTCACTTGTGTGTCACAAATCTTGGAAGGCATTTTACGTTTTCTGGATGGGTTTCCAGAATAAAAGTGCTCTTGTTGTGCCCTCCTATGCAACATCTGTTGCACTTGTGGGACTGAGTTTTAGATGATTAGGAAAGGTATCCTGAACATTCTAAGAAATCATACAAACAAAAACAAACGAAACACAAAAGATCCTGTTAGAATAGAGAATCATCTAATCCTTTAAAGAATAAACATTTGAAGGGACTTTGTTATTTCAGGATGGGTTTCCAGAATAAACGAATATTATTGTCTAGCAATAAAACTAAGAATCGAGATGAAATCCAAAACTCATCATACTTATTCAGGATAGAGTTCCAAAGGTATGTATATATGGTCTGGTCCATATCACGTAGCAATCAAATAACCAACATCCAGAAAGTGATCAATAAAAAATGAAAAAAACATGGAAATGAAAAAAATACAGCGAAGATGAATACGAAACTTCATCCTATGGGCCTTCTCGCATGTGCTTTTGTTGTGCCATTCCTTCTTTTCTCCATAATTGATGCATATCAAAGAACCCAACAACAGATTACACACATATGTTTCCAACAGGCTGAGGAGGTAAGAAAGTAAATTTAATTTTTTTTATTATTTATCTATAGAATCTCTTATAATTTTTCTTGTGTTTTAAAGGCTGAGACACAAACTGGATCCCAAGTTCTTTCCCTTAATGTGACTCAACTTACATATATATCATATTTATGATAACAATTAAAATATTTAGGAAGGGTTTTCTGAATCACCTGGGTAAAGATATGGATCCTAATTCATGGTTTGCCCTGCCCGTACAACTTCCCTTTGTCAGAGAAGAGGATGCGAGCTTACATTCCAAATGTAGCTTTAGATAGGATTTGTGTAGTTTCAGTAAGGCTTTTCAGAAATCCGATGGTAACAAATTTGAAAACCTTTTTGTCTTGTTTGGCTTATGCATGTTAAAACTTCAGGAAAAATTGTGTAGCTTCAGGAAGACTTTCCAGAAAATTCAATGCTTGCAAATTCGAAAATCTTTTTTGTCTTGGTGTCTTATTTGACTTATGCATGTTGATATCTTTGGTAGGCTTGTGAATATATATATATATATTCTTATGACATTGTTTAGTCTCTTCTTGCTAGTCCTGGTGAAACTTTGTGGTGTTTTTAAAATTTCAGGAATGATTTGTGTAGTTTCAGGAAGGCTTTCCAGACAATCTCTCTAACAAACTAAAGAAGAATAAGCTGAATTGCACCAAAAAGTTCACTTTACTTAAAACTAGTCAAATTAAAAAAAATAAGATAGTTTCAGGAAGGCTTTCCAGAAAATCGAATGTTAGCAAATTTGAAAACCTTTTTGTCTTGTTGTCTTGTTTGACTTATGCATGTTGATATCTTTGGTAGGCTTGTGAATATATATGCTTATGACATTGTTTAGTCTCTTCTTGCTAGTCCTGGTGAAACTTTGTGGTGTTTTTAAAATTTCAGGAAGGATTTGTGTAGTTTCATGAAGGCTTTCCAGACAATCTCTCTAACAAACAAAAGAAGAATAAGATGAATTGCACAAAAAAGTTCACTTTACTTAAAACTAGTTAAATTAAAAAAATAGGATAGTTTCAGGAAGGCTTTCCAGAAAATCCAATGTTAGCAAATTTGAAAACCTTTTTGTCTTGTTTTCTTGTTTGGCTTATGCATGTTTACATCTTTGGTAGGCTCGTGAATATGCTTATGACATTGTTTAGTCTCTTCTTGCTAGTTCTGGTGAAACTGTGTGGTGTTTTTAAAATTCCAAGAAGGGTTTATGTAGTTTCAGGAAGGCTTTACAAAAAATCCAATGTTAGCAAGCTATGTTGATACTGCGATGGATTTACGAAGCAAGCTATGTTGTGAGATCTTCGACTATTTTATGGATAAAGATTTCCAGGAAGATAACATGAAGTAAAAATGTGACACTCATTCTGTTTTGTATTATGTTTTTGAACTTTGATGTTACTTGCACAAGTAAAAGTTTGTAATGAATGATCACTACAACGTTTTTATTATTTAGATTGTTATTAAAGAAATTTCAGGATGTCTAGGATAAGATGTGGCACTTTTAGGATGGGTTACCAGAAATAAAAATGAGTATTCTAAACCATACAAATGAAACAAAATAAAGAACCCATGTCAAAAAGGATCAAATCAATAAAGTGACTCAAGACTGTAATTTAAAGAGTTTCAGGCAGATAGTGGTACATATTTTTCTTATGTTACCAGCCATAAACTCTGAGTCATGACTCTCTCTAGTCAGATAAAAAGTCTAATAATACTCGGGATGATACTGGAAATCTTCAAAGACTGATCTTTGTAACATCTCAACAACCCAAAAGTTCCAGACCAAACAAATGAAAGAAAAAAGAACATGTCAAAAAGGATCAAATCCACAAGGAGATTCCCTCAACACTGTAATGTAAAGAGTTTCACGCACATAGTGGTAATATAGTTCTACAGCTAGTTTTTTTTTTTTGGTCTAAGTTCCACAACTGATTCCATCATACAATATGTCCCTTACGTTACTATAAACTCTTAGACATCAAGAAGAAGAGAGAGACCAATAACATAGTTTTGTAACAATGTATAAAGTTTCAGGCACATAGTGGTTCCATCAAACAATGTCTCTTAAGTTACTAGAAATAAACTCTGAGACACAAGAACACGTATGTTCAGGACACATAGAGATACCAATAACATAGTTACAGAATCCAAACACAGTCATCAACAATCTTGATCAGCTTTAAGAACAAATAGCTCTTTCAACCACTTCCTGCAACTCCCCGCTCTGAAACGCCTCGAGAGTAATATCACAACCACCAAAGAACTCACCTCCGATGTAAAGCTGAGGAAACGTGGGCCTATTGGAGTACTCTTTCAACCCTTGTCTCAGCATCTCGTTCTCAAGGATGTTCACGTCTTCGAAAGGCACGTTCAGATTCTTCAGGATCTGCACCACCGTGTTCGAGAATCCGCACATCGGGAAATCCCTTGTCCCTTTCTTGAAGAGTATGACTTTCTTCCAGTTCACCAGTTTCTCTAGCGTATATCTAAGCTGCGGTGTAAGCGCCGAGGACGCTGAGCACCGGAATTTGGCGGCGGGAGACGATGGTTTGAGTTTGGGTGCGAGATTCGAATGGATGTTGTAGATCGGTTGGTGGAGGTTGTGGACGGAGACTCTGATAAGCAAGAGCTTATCCAGAAGTTTAGGAGATAAGATAGACAGAGAAAGGAGATTAAGATAAGAGAATATTATAGTTATGTGATCATTTGATAAACCCAAACGTATTACACACTTGTGACTATATAGTAAGTCACACCTCCTTATTAATAAAACGACATAGCATTAATTAAACACACCATACTAAAGACTCTTTCTCACTCAGAGTCTCTCCTTCCTTGCTTCCCTCCATCTTAGCCACTTTGAAATGCCTTCCTTGATCTCCTCTTCTTTTGAATGTAAGCTAGAGGCACAGCTAGCTTATCAATACCCCCCCACCCGAAGAAGACTCAGCTTGTCCTCAAGCTGGAACTCCGGAAACTGCTCCTGCAAGAGATGAACTGGTTCCCACTCAAATTCTGGAAGACCTGACCACTTCACCAATACCTCAGGCTGACCCGGTTTATCAGATTTGCGTATGGCCAGTATCTCCTCTGGCTCAGCATTCCACTCAAAGGATGAAGATAGGATTAAAGGGAGCTCTTGTACCTTGGTGTTAGGTTCCACGGTTTGCTTGAGCTGGGAAACATGGAACACGGAATTGATCAAACTGTGTTGAGGTAGCGCTAACTTGTAAGCAACCTTTCCAACTCTCTTCTCCACTCTGTAAGGACCAAAGTATCTGGGAGCAAGTTTCTCAGCTCTTCGAACTGCCACAGAGCCTTGACGATAAGGACGCAGCTTTAAATAAACCCAATCTCCCACTTCAAATACCACATCTCTGCGTTTCTTATTTGCTGATACCTGCATTCGAGCTTGAGCAATAGCCAAGTTATCACGCAATTCCTGCAGCAACTCATCCCTACTTTGCACCATCTTTTCTACCTCAGCATTAGAAGAAGGAATGTCACCATAACGCAGAAGGCGGGGAGGGTCTCTGCCATACAATGCCTTGAAAGGAGTAGTATTTGTGGACGTGTGATGGGAAGTATTATACCAATACTCCGCCCATGGAAGCCATTGAACCCAAGAACTTGGTTTCCTGCCCACAAAGCATCTTAGGTATGCTTCTAAACAACGGTTAACCACCTAGGTATGACCATCAGTCTGAGGGTGGTATGAGGTGCTCTTGTGTAAAGAAGTTCCCTGACTGGAAAACAATGATGACCAGAATTGACTAAGAAATACATTATCCCTTTCAGACACCATCGTCTCCGGGAAGCCATGCAATTTTATCACCTCCTTAATGAACACTTCTGCCACAGTCTTGGCAGTAAATGGATGCTTCAACGGGGTGAAATGAGCAAACTTGGACATTCTATCAACCACCACCAAAATAACGTCAAACCCCTTGGACACTGGAAGGCCTTCCACGAAGTCAAGACTTATATCAGACCAGACTTGTTGAGGGATAGGCAATGGAGACAGCAATCCTGCAGGAGTCAGTGTCGAGTATTTGTTCTGCTGACAAGTTACACAAGCCTTTATGAACTCCGTCACATCCCTTCTCATCCCTCTCCAATACACTTCCCTTGCCATTCTTTTAAACGTCTTCAACACCCCCTCATGACCTCCCACGGGACTGTCATGGAAATGCTTCAGCAACGTTGGAATGAAGGGGGAATGCGCTGGTAAGACCACTCTTCCATCCTTGAACAGGTTTCCATTCCTCAAACAGTATCCCTCGTAACCAGCTTCACCCCTCTTGAGAGCCAACACAACCTTAGTAAGCTCCTCATCCTTCTCAATCTGCATAGCCAACTCAAGCATATCAATCGACAAAGGCGCTGTCAACTGCAACTCTTTAAATTCCTCCACCGGCTGTTGTCATGACAAGGCGTCACCCACGCGATTCTCCTTCCCTGGCCGGTTCTCAATAGTATAATTCAACCCCAAAAGTTTAGAGGCCCATTTTTGTTGCTCCACTGAGACAGCTCGTTGTTCCAGCAAATGTCGCAGGCTCTTCTGATCAGTTCGTATTGTGAACTGCTTACCAGTCAGGTAGTGTCTCCACTTAGTCACTGCGAAGACAATAGCAAGTAGCTCCCTCTCATAAACTGACTTCACCCTGCCTTTGCTTGAGAACCCTTTGCTGATAAAAGCAATAGGTCTATCCTGTTGAGATAACACAGCACCAATACCCGTACAAGACGCGTCTGTCTCCACCACAAACGACTGCTGGAAATCAGGTAAGATGAGCACAAGAACACTGGACATGGCTTCTTTCAACCTTGTAAACGCCATTTCAGCTTCTGCATTCCACAAAAATCCTTCTTTTCTCACTCAGAGTCTCTCCTTCCTTGCTTCCCTCCATCTTAGCCACTTTGAAATGCCTTCCTCGATCTCCTCTTCTTTTGAATGTAAGCTAGAGGCACAGCTAGCTTATCAGACTCTCAAAGTCTGAGGCTTGTTGATAACTGAGGACGTGACGGCGGCGGCGGGAGTTATAAAAGGCAATTTGACAGATAGGAGAGCCATTGTGACTACCATTGTGACTAGCAGAGATGAGATGCGTGAGAAGAAGCCTAACAAGACACCAAGGATCAACGGATTCCTGGAGTTGCCGAATCACACCGTTCTTCTTCGACTCAGCGGCGGGGGCTCCGATAACCGCCACAATCATGACCTTCTGGTAAGGTGTAAAGAGCTCCCACGCTAGGGTTTCATCTCTGCTCAATCCGCCTCCGCCGATGGATCGCGCCGAGCTGGCCTCGTCGAGCAAACTCTTGAGAAGAAGAGAAGATGACGGTAATGCAAAGGCGATATGAGATGAGATGAGACGACGGCGGTTTTCAATTCTGTTTGTTTCTTTACTTAAAGGAGGGGGGGCATAAGAGTAAATGCCTCCTTTAAAGAAACTTATTTTTGTGATTTTGGGCCTTGGATGCTAGTTTTAGAACATAAACTTGAATTAGTGCTATTCTTGGCTTTTTCTCTTCTAAATATCAGTATAGGTGACAACTCAGTCCTATCTAAAACGTTTTTTTTTTTTTTTGCAAAACCGATTTATACAACTCAAAATCAGTTTAAACTATTTTAATCAGTTTAAATTGATTTTAATTAGTCTAAATCTATTAAATTTTAAGGTACAATATCCATATAAATCTGGTTTAAAAAAAAATCCAGATAAATCCACAATTTGTCTAATACTTTTTGTTTGTATATCTAATTTTTATAGTACATTATAATAATTTTAAAATTAAACCCAAAACTAAAATGTCCTACATAAATGTAAAATATATATAAAATAAATCAGTATTTCGTTAACTCCTATACTTCTCTTAGGCTTTGAAATTCTGCATAGCCGCTAGTCCTCTAAGCGCCTAGTTACCGTAACAATTTCTTAAACATTGTCACTAACTATTTCAAAAACAAAACTATGTATCAGTACATGGACTAAAACCTACAAACAAAATATATTAAATTTAAAGAATTACTCTTTAGAAATAGGTTTAAAACGACTAGCACAAAAATTGAATTTTCTTAAAAAATATATTATACTATTTTATAACTTAGAGTTATTTATTAATTTTGATTCTTTTCTATAAAGAAGGTGAAATAACATATCATATATCAAGACGAATATCAATTAACTTTGTAATATTATGGATGACCAAGCTTTTCGACGGAACCGGAGAGGATCTCGACGTTGAGGATTTGTTTCCCAGACTTCAAGATCACTTATGTACCTAGATCTCTAAATGTTGTGTCCGATCATTTAATTAAGATTGCCCGATCCTTTTATCGTGTGGATTTTTAGTGTCCGATCATTCTATTCCGGTGTGGATTTTTAGACCACCTCAAGCTTGAGTAATAGAGAAGTCTTTGTTGTCAAAAAAAAAAAAAATCAGTGAGAGCAAAATTCGTTCAGTTTTTGGTAAATCGGGTATACAAATTTCATACCCGCATGTAAGGCTCGTTATATATACATTTTTAATTCTGTTTTGAACAAAATATTATACTTTTATAATGTAACAGATACGGTGAAGTAATATAGTGGTATTAGAGATGTGGTTTGCTTTCGCAATCCAAATTTGAGATGAAATATCTAAAATTCTGTTTCTTAAACGTAGTTTCCACCTTAAACGGATACCTGAGAGAACTGATACCTGCTAGTGGTCATAACAGTACCCATCAGATCAACCTAAATATCTAAAACTATGTCTGGAAGCTCGATACTTTTTTTTACTAACCTTACAATCACCACATAACATTTCTTCATGTTTTGCCCTCACTCACATGGCATCCCGAATCACTTTCCGATAGGTCACCAATCATTCCACTACTCCATGTAAAGCATGCTTCTGAATTTTGTTCTAGCTGGTTAACCAAAACGGTAAATTGCACTTTGGTGACATAAATAGTCAAATCAATTATTTTAAGCCTTTTCATATACCACAAACCAAGATGTTACAATTCATCACATCTCACATAACACAACGTCCTTGTTTCGCCCCAAGATCATTACCCATGTTAGTGCAGTGGCGGATCCACTTGGATAGGGGGGTGGGTGCAGCTGCACCATGAAATTTTTTCTATTTATTAAGATTTGCTTTAATAAAAAAAATTGCCACCATGAAAATTTGTTTTCTTGTCCCCACAACCCATTCAAAAATTTTAAATTCCAAACCCATTTTCAATTTGTTTGTGTTTGGCCTCACAGCCCATTCGAAAATAACAAAAACCCATACACATTTTTTTTTGTTTTAGACTTTTACTTAATTATACTAAAAGTGTTTAACTAATTTCTAAATTAAAAACCCTAATCTATTCAGTTAATCTCATTTTCGTTCATCGCAGCATCGCAGAGAAGAGAGTGGTATTTTATTTTGCTCCTTTATTAATGTTCAAAGTTATTGTTTATTCGAATTAATTAGTTTAATTCTACTTGTAGA